CGCTCCGCCCCTTAGCGAGGCACTGGCTGCTCATTGTTGCACAAGCGTTAGCGTTCGCGTCTCCATTGCCCCTATGCTCTCTGATCTCTTTGCTTTCCTGGAAGCCAGTGCCACATTGTCGTACCACTGTACACTATTCAGAACAGGATGAACTTGACTTCGGAATGTTGGACGCTGTTTTTTTTATTTTTCTTAACTAGCGATCGAATTGAAGGCATTGAACACGATGGCTGGAAGGCGGAGCGGTTTTGGTGGCATCATTGGCGGGAGGGCGTTGAGAGGTGTCCCCAATCGCATTTTCCCGCTTCCCTTCCCCTATTCAGGGCACTGAGGGCTTTTTTATCAGTGGCGTCCGCAAAACCGCTCCGCTGTCCAGCCATCGTGTTCATTGCCTTCAAGATCATTATATGCATGCATTTTTCAAGCGAAATGGCCGCATCTTGAGCGGGAATGTGCCTTGAGTTCAATTTAAAGTCATACGGAAATGCTAGGGAAATACTCAAGCCATTGTGCTAGCCAACTTAATTCAAGTCGAGATAGAAAGTATGCCGCTAGAGGACATGTTAGATTTTGTCTAGAGATTTATGAACGAGTCTTTGATCTCTTCTGACCAGGAAGGTCTTTCAGGGCGTGCCAAGCTTTTTCAAAACGGTCTTTTGCATGATATAGGGGCACATGCGGGAACCACAGAACCATGGTTAATTTTTCCTGAACGGCCCTCTGAATACCAAAAAGGGGTCCCTAGTTCGATTCCTCGTGGTGACAAACTTTTGCATTTCGAGTTGACGTGGTTACGACAATCCTGATTTGAAACGTCAACTCGAAATGCAAAAATTTGTCACCACGAGGAATCGAACTAGGGACCCCCTTTTCTGGTATTCAGAGGGCCGTTCAGGAAAAATTAACCATGGTTCTGTGGTTCCCGCATGTGCCCCTATATCATGCAAAAGACCGTTTTCAAAAAGCTTGGCACCCTCCTGAAAGACCTTCCTGGTGAGTGATTGCTTGAAGTGAAGTAAAATCTCACTTGTAAGGTGTCTCCTCCATGATTCTTCATTGTCTGGCAATATAAGCGCTGAACAAAGCGGG